CCCCTTCCCCAATCCCCCAACACTACTCCCCTTCCCCAATTCCCCAATAAAATCTTAAAAAAAAAAAAGATATCCCTATGGGAGACAGTTGTATCAGCACTGAAAAGAATGAGTTGGATGATAAATTGAAAGAGAATGAAGACAGAAGCCATGTTCAAATGCTGTGGTCCAGATGAAACAATGGAAAGTGAGCTGTGCTGTGACCTTATACTGCAAAGACAACCTACTGAATGGGACAAGATAATTCACCAATGATAAAGGACACAGGTGCATCACGAAGTTAAGTAACCTGCCCAAGTTCTCAGGCAGGTACGCAGCAGAGCTGAAATCGGAACCCAGGGCTACCTGGAATTATAGTCCACCCCTTCAGGACACACTGTCCCTCTACTATAAGAGCAGTCCCTGCTGTGCCCCCAGAGAAGTGACAAGAAGGGTGCTTCTTGTACAGTGTGCTAATTTCCTATTGGGATTAGAGGGAGTAGGAAGAATATTCTAGCAGAAGTCTTTGGTTTAGGACAAGGGAAAAAGGAATACAAGTCATTTGTGAAAATAAAATTTAAATATGTCATCTTCATGTCTGAGAGAACAGGAAAGGAAAGGGGCAGTTCCAGCTGTGCCCAAGAAGCAATATTACAGAGTAGGTGTGCCTGAGTGTGTGAAAGGAAGGTAAATTGAAAGGGGGAGCAGAGGAACCCTAACTAGCCTTCCCATTTAGTGATTTAGCATCTCATATTCTTGAGCCATGTCATTTCTGATGGGATGGATTCCAGGGGTCAGACCAGCCACTTGAGTTTTTGAAGCCTCCTGTGTTGGGCTGCCTCTGATGCTAGCTGGGAGATGATGTCAGATACACAAGACTTGTCCACTCACCGGGCATGGAGGGCAGAGGACAGTGATGCCTCAGGGTAGAGCTGGTGTTTGGAAATGCTTTTGGTGAGAATGAGGGCACCTCACTGTAATGCTGAGTGGGAAGGGTATCTTGGGGAGATAGTCAACTGAGAATGCTTTGGAAGCACCTAAAAACAAGGTTTCTAGGCAAACAAAAACAGTAACCAACGGGAAACAGTTCAAGCTCATGCACGGCTCCCGGTGGAGAGCTCTGCTATGAGGATCTTGGAAGTCACAGGGAGATGAAAACGAAGAGTCCTCGGAGATTTTCTGAGGGCATGTCTGATGTTACATGCAAGCTCTGAAGTCTCACCTTTCCCCAGGAGACATTTTATGGTGCATGTGGCTTCCATTTAGAAATGAAGAACTATTTACCAGAAGTCTGCTGCGAACAAGAGCTTTGATTATATAGAGAAGATTTGTCCTTTTTGTGATAAAAATGCTCACTGCTGTACATTAGGTTGATGCCAAACAGCCTCATTAACACCGGCAATCTGGTAAATGATGTGTCTTAGGGAAATGTCTTATGAGCTACTAATCAGGGCCTTTGCTGAACAGAATGTTGGAATCCTGCTTTCATAAATGAGGCTCCCCTCGCACCCTGTTTTATCTTTCCCCTACATGCTTGTGACACCAGTAACATGAGAGAATAAAAAAGGAACATTCTCCTAAGTGAATGCAGCTCTGCTCTGGGGTTCCAAGCTTTGCTCTCAGCTTATCTCTGCAGCTGGAGTTCCTCTTTGGTTCAACGGCAGAATAAAGCACAAGATTCTTTGCCTCTCTGCTGGTGTTACTGACGTGGGAACACGTCCAGCCAAAGGGGACTTTACACATCATTTAGTGCAGCCTCCCACCCACGCAAGGCCGCCCTGAGCCGTTTCTCCAGTGCGCGGCCATGCAGTTTCCAATGGTTCACATACCACGTGACTCTCACAACTTCATGCTGCTCAGACCGGTCCAATGAGCAGGAAGCTCCCCCCGAATCTGGAGCCAAAGGGAGACTCCTCAGACGCCCCTTACTGATCCTAAGTAAGTCCTGTACCTCCGGTGTAAGGCCTATACCACAGTCCCCTTTATGGGTTCACACATTTTCAGACAACTCCGCTATAGCCCTCTCGCCCAGGTTAACCTTAGCAGTTTCCTTCTGTTGTTCTTTGCATGATTCATTTTCACACACACACACACACACACACACACAAATATTTTGAGTACCTCATTGGGGTAGCATAGGGAGAGGCAAGATGACCAAACCCTGCCCTCATCCTTTGAGTTCTACCGGAAATTAAAAATACCCCATTCGAACTCTTCACTACATCAAGAAGATGATTTCAGAGAGGTAAATGCAAAGTGGAGAAAATCAAACAGGGTAACAAGAAGGGGTGAGTAGGTGGGGGGGGGGCAGGGAGTGGTTAGGTTTTAATAATGGAGGTAGAGAAGTGCTGTGGGGAAGCCTCGTTTATGTTTAAACCTAGATTCCAGACCGGACCCGGCCACGCAGAATCCAGAAGGCAGAGCGTTACAATGAGAGGATCAGGGGCACACACGCCCGAGGCAGAAATGGCCTGAGTGTAACTGAATGGCTGGGACTAAAAGAACTCCCCTCTGGACCAGCTCTACTTTTCCCATTGCTGTTAAAAAACGTGCTCAGAAAACTGAGCACAACAGATGACGATGTTCAACGAAACGGGACCCAAGGCTGAGTTTCACAGCTCTATTCCCGAAAACCTTCTCTCACTTCGAGCCGTCAACATTTATCCATCCATCCACCCACATAGCATCCAGCCAGTTACACAGTCACATAAATATTGCACCATTTTAGTCTCAAGTCCATCATGGTTTTTGCAACTATGTCATAAGATATTATGTCCAATGTATTCATGAAGCTAAAACAGATTTTGCATTCTTTCTATTTTTCAACTAAGTAACTAGACAGGAGAAAAAAAGAAAGAATGAATGAATGGATGAATGGAAGAACAAAGAAACGTGTCGATTCCTCCTACGAGAAATGCATGGTTCTGAAATCAAGAATGGGAAAATGCCTGCCATGCAGTCGGTTCTTACTGAATAGTAATGTTCTTCCCTGTCACCCAGATGTCAATGGAACAGCCCCTCTCCTCCCTGAGTTCTCCAAGATCGCCTGCCTTGTCTCTGTCACATCAGCGGGTTTTTACCAGGAGCCCAGAATGGAACTTGGTTTTTCTGCCTTCAGCCTCTGACTTGCTCATATGACTCATTCACGCTCCCATCGCTCAAGGCGATGTGCTTCCTGCTCTTTGTTTGGTGACCCATTTCTCCTCCACAAACAATCTTGACATCTCTTCCTTGATCATGACTTGCTAGGTCAGTGATTAAGATACGTAGATGACAGTCATCTCTGCATGTTAGATGACAAGGGTCTGTTTGTTGATTAGTGAATTGGTTTATCTAGGCAGGTAGGCCCTTTCTGCCCCAAGTTTGTATTCAGAGGCCTACCTCAAATAAGATTCGGGGTGCAGCAGGGGGCCTTGAACTATTTTTCTATGGAGGCATTTTTTATTGTGATAAGCTCCAAGCCTTAGAATTAAAAAAGAATCTTTGAGATCATATAATCCAGTCCTTCACCACTTTTTGTTTAACAGGCAAAGAAACCAAAGTGAGAAGAGGGTCAGTAACCGTAACTAGCATGTGAAAAAATCAAGCGTCTATCCCACATATCCAGATTTTAGGCCTTTAGTATTCTTGCTTTGAAAATGAAGTCCTAGCACTTGGTGGGTGATTACCCTGTGACAGTTAAGGAATTCATTTAATCTTCACGATTAACTCTAGGTAGAAAACATTTTTATCCCCGTTTCACTTATATGAAAACTCAGGCTAATCGTGAATTTGTCCAAGTTCTCATGTTTTCACACACGAGGTCAATAAAGCTTAAAATACTATGGCCAGTTTCTCAGCATTAGAAGCCACCTGGGGAACATAATCAGTACCTTTTATGCAGGTTCCTGTGACCTGTCAGTGTATAGTGCGTATCTGTGTCCTGAGCCTGCAGATAAAGTGACCTGCCCTTTCCGATCGGATATAAAAGGTTGTCGGAGCCCAAGAATCCCTCTTTTATAGATTAGGCAGTTGAGATCCAATGAAAGGCCCCAAATATGCCGTTGGTAATTTTTTGTTGTCGTTTGTTTTACAGACACTTTGCAACGGAGGGATCATAATTCTATTTTTCAGTCAAGGAAATGGTGTCTCAGCGACAAGAAACTTGTCTGAATAACTTGTTAATACCTTGTTAATTAGGTGACAGCTAAAATTTAAACCAGGACCATGCAAGCCCAAACCTTGCCCTTTCTATTCTACTATGTGAGGTTTTGCAGTTAGGACGACACAGAGCCAGTTTCCAATGACACACCTTAGGGCCCTCCGGCCAGGGTGCTTCACTCATTATCGCCCTGACTTCTGAGACGGTATACACCTCTTTCTATTGTCAGGTGACACATTTTCCAGGTGTGAACAGAAACAGAAGCGTGAAGAAGTGAGGGGCATGGCGCCGGTACCCATACTTCCGGTCCTGCGATTTCTCGGTTCTGCAGAGAAAAACAAGGATCTGCAGCCCAGGGCGCTCTGATTAGCAATCCAGCCAAAAGACAGAACCATCTGACACTGTGCAAACACGCTCCATCTGTCCGGGGCTTGGGGGGGCAGGAGTGAGAGAGAAAGCAGAGGAAGTGAGAGCTCGGATGTAAGCCATAGCTGAGCCGTCTGGCAGTCACCCCTGAACTATAGCCACTGCTGCTGAACCAGCCTGCCTGACTGCTTTCAAAGCCTGCTTTGCACAAGTCTTTCCTAAGCCAAGCTGTCTCATTTTCAAAGGCTCCTTTAAGACAATAAGAGAGAGGAAGAAGAGAGGTCACAGAGACCCTAAGGGGCCAGAGAAAATTGGAAATAGCCACACTTTCTGGATGGGTCTAAATAAGCATCACAATTCATCTCCAGGAAAGAAATGGGGGGGGGGCGCAGGTGCCAGACCAGACCCTCCTTATGGCCTGAGGACACTCCAGGTTCCACAAGGAAACAGACAGAACGGCCCTAAATGTGCTCCCCCAATCAATACTCCATTATCACTTTGTTATTGTTCGCAGGACTCGCCCCTACAGACTGCACAGCAGTCAGTAAACCTTGACAATCAATGTGGCCTCCTGAATGAAGGCAATTTTTCGCCAATCATCTTTCCTGGATTTGGCCAAATGGGCAGCCATTCACGGACGTACCTTCTCTCGCTCGCTCTCAGCCTACAGGTAAGCAAACCCCTTTCGAGGATCACACATCTCTACCCTCAGGCCTTCCCCATAAAGCCCATGACATCTGAAAACGACACTGCCCTGGCAGCCCGCTATTAAGGAGGAAAGTTACCTAGCATCTAGTGCATCAGGTTGTCAAGAAATCTAAACGTAGGAAGAGATATTTCAGGTCACCTGTTGTATTCCTGAAATCCATCCGTTAATGTATTTGACAAATCATTATTGCATGTGCTGTGTGTCAGGCGCTGTGCTAGGCACTTGGGAATTCAGTAGTACATAAGCAATAACATTTATGTGGATGATTTCTATAAAAGTAAATACAGTTAGGAAGTAGGTAGCGGTTGATTTATGCAGTGGGGGAGATACCTGGATCAGGTAATAACTTTTTCAGAAGAGATTACAATGAAGTGGAGAATCTGCATAAACTATAGCAGCCAACCATGAAAAGCAGCGTGGAAATGTTCCACACAGAGGGAGACACAGGGCAGAAGCTCAAACTCAAGACAGAGCTTGGTTTTGTCGAAGGCAGAGGTCAGTGTGGCTGGAGATGTTTGTTTCATGGGAAGTCTGCTTTTCACTCATAATCACAATAATAATTACCAAGAAAGACATTAAAAACCAAGGCTACCCAAAACAAAAGGCGACTCCAAGGAAAGAGGTCAGTATTCAAAACATTAGTTTCTATATTGGAGTTAACCATAAATGGCCCTGCCTTTCGCTTGAATTTGACATTCTTGGGAATAAGAATCATATTGTTTTTAGCCAGTCATGTGTACCTGGCATGTAATGAGACATAATGGGTATCGCACGAATGAACGAATGCATGGGTGCATGGATATGAGTATACGAACGCATGTGGTGACCCAAGCCCAAAAGTTTATGGGTTACAACGTTTATAGACTTGGCCTCATAGGAAGCTTCATATCTTGTATCTCTCCTTTAAATTTTCTCTAAGGCCTTCAAAGATTCTAAGGAAAAGATTAAAAAAAAAAAAAGAAAGAAACTGAGCAAAAGAGATGGGAGCTTACATCACAGTATGCTCCTTTGGGGCCACACGGTATTTTTAAGTCCCAAGCCTCTTTTTCAAAGCGCCAAGCATGGTTATTGTTATTTATTTTCCAGTTTTATGGAGCTATAATTGGCATATTGTTTAAGGCACGCAACATAATGATTTGATCATTTGATACATATCCGAATGTTGAGAAATGATTATAATACTACGTCTCGTTAACAACCATCATTTCACAGAGGTAGATTTTTTTTTTCTGGTGATGAGCAAACATGCTCGCATGTGTCAGGTTTCCAGGTAGTTAGAAATGGGAAGGCGAGAGCCGGACATGTGAGCCAACCTACAGCTTTCTACAGGAAACTGGTCTTTGACTGGCACACAGTTTCAATTCTCAGATTAGCACATTCTACACGCTGCCTGAAAGAGCAGCTCAGAGCTAAGCCTCATCCTGACCAGCCACTTGGACAAGGTGGTCGCTGAACTGGACACCATCACCGCCACGCATGGAACCAACTAGAATGGAGGTGGAGCCATCCAAGCCTGTAATCCGCCCAGCTTTCCGAAGAGGAAATCCCTTTCAAACATGCGTGGCTTCCTGTGTGCCAACTCTTTCTTCTTTCTGTTTCCAACCCACCAGCAAATCAGAAGAATTAAGGGGATTACAAAGCAGGAAATATCAGTGACTTCACGTATCAAAACCGGGGCGTTGTTGGATGAAACTCCATCTGGGCAAAGCCACTGCAGAAAAATGGGCTGTGAAAGGCTGCTGAACGGGAAGGAACACCTAGGACTTGTCCCTCTCTGCCTGCTGTCAGCGAGCACACAGGACAAGGCCAGATGCGTTTCGGATGAAAAGCCCAGAAGAGACGCAGGTGAAATGCACTGCGCTTCAGGGATGTGCGACCTCCCGCTGCAGGCGGTGTGAGACGAGCATGGCCTGCAAGGACAGTCCTTTAGAAAAGCTTCTGCAGCACAAATCAAGACCCATCATACTCCTCTCCTCCATTCATTCTGCTTCCGGAAACCAATCCTACAAAATTAGCTCACGATTCACAGAAAAGCTTACGGACGTGAACACAGAACAAAGCTTTACCAAAATACAAAGAAATTAGGAAAAAATCTAAATAGTCCCCAATTGAGGAAATACGTAGACATGTTGTGGGAATAGTACACAACCCTTAAGAGGAGTGTTGCGCTAAGTAGGGAATGTGAAGTCAGCCATCCACAACAGGAAACTTATCTGTGGAATTCGGGATGGCCTCATCACGTTTGGTTTGTTCATGAAATCTAGAGACAGTGCACCCCTCGTGGTGGAAAACGGCAGGTACCTTCATGTGAAATACGTAAGTCATTTGGGTGGCTCCCTCGGTGCTGCTTTGTTAATGTTAAAATCAAGAGAGTCAGTTTCTTCAGTTACTTGAGAATTGTTCTTTGTCCTAAAGTGTATCCAGAAAATATCCAAGGGAGAATTTTTAATGTTGGATGGACGCAAAGTCAAAAACAGGACATGGATTTTAGGCTATCTGCGTGTGTGCGTGCATGTGTGTGTGTGTTACTGAGTGTATTAAATGAAATCAAACACAACTTGATTTTTTTTTTAATTAAAAAGCCTGTGGACTTTTACCTTAATCCAAACTGGACTGCCGAATGCTTACAGCTAGATTTTGCTGCAAATAGGCACACTGATATTTTATACTCGTTGGGTATTATAATGTCAACCCATGAACCATTGACAATTACCAAGAGCTCCGCTGGGCCTCTGAGAGAGTTTGGGCCTCAGAGTTTATAGCGAGTCCTCTGAAAGTAACATAGTAGACCCAGTCTTCCAGCTACAGAACATTCATCCTTGGGTTACATAGGACAGTCGCAGACACATTTGTCTCTCCCTCTCCCCAACCCCTTCACTTCCCGTCATCCATCCTTCCTGCATAGAATGCCTCTCAATGAAGAGCTATGCTTACTTTGAGGACTACTTTGAAATGCATTCTAACAAACGCTGCATTATTTGTAAGCACTGTGCTTAAAGCCATGTTCACAACAGTCCATGGTGGCCCCTGCATTTCTCTCTGGTCTCAGTCCAGGGTAATTATGCTTCTCCTGATCAATGGCTTTGTTTTTATCTTGTAGACACGTTATTATGTGTTGATAATACATCTTGTAGAGATACTCTCCTTCCTATTATTATACAAAACACAGCACAACGCTCAAGAGAGTAGTGGCACCTGCTACACACTCTGTGTATTCACTTCTAGCCTGGACTCACCCAGTGTTGCCTTTCTCCTTCACTTCTTTCTTTTTAAATTTTACTTTTCCTCCGTGCCCTTCTATAAGCCATCTTCAAGCATTTGGGGATGACATACAGTACAGAAAGAGGAAAGAAAGACAGAGAGGGCAGAAAGAAGCGGGAAGCGAGCCACGAAGGAAAACGTAGAATTTTTAAATACCAAATAAATGGGTCTATTTACATGATGCTTGTGGCAGAACTACCGTGACCAAAGAAAGGATTATAATGGATTAAAATTAGGAAATAGATGTTCAAGAAAAACATGACATACATATGTGTGCAACGTACGGGTTGTCGTCTTGGAAGTGGGTTGTCAGTAAAGCTATTAGTCTTCCCTAAGCGAACAGCAATGCCCAAACCAGAGTTTGCACCTTTAATAGCGAACTGTTAAGACAGTCCAGGCCCCATATTGTTGTTAGTGGCAGTATCAGAGCTTGTGAGTGTCTCATCCCTTCCCTCAACCTCGAGTGCGTGTGGGGGGCAGGGGATTAGGGTGCTGGGACCATCTCCTGAAAGCCTGCAAAGGTTCGGATGCTCTAACGGGGGGGAAGGCAGCACACAAGCAAGCAAATAAAAGATACTAGATCAAAAAGATTTGTATAAAGACAGTACATACATGAGCCCCAAGGCATTTCAAATATTTATAATTCTCTACATATTTAATCTTTAAGAGTTCTTGAGACGCTGTGTTCAGAATGTGATGCTAACATGCTCGGCTCAGAGCTGAGACCGTCAAAGTCATCGAAGACACACAGGAAGCGAGAGATGAAGGGCCGATATGAAACAGACAAACTAATCCAAACTCCAAAGGCAGTCCGTCCACATGGCTGAACTCACAGGAGGACAGAACTGAAAGGGACCCTGCAAACCCCATGCCTTTGTTTCACAAACAGACACCTGAGGCATAGGGCGATTTCCCAGCATGTCCATATCACTCAGAACTGTCTATCTTTGGGAACAGAATCGTGGTGCTTTCAAATGAGAGGAACAAACAGTGGTTTGCCCAAATCACAGAGGACTAACTTTAAGGCCACAGGACCATCATGCCATAGGCTGGCCTAGCACGTACCTTTGTACTTCAACGGGGAACATATTAGCTGCCCGAGTCAATGATGTCTGCTGTCAGTCAGCACTCTACATACCAATTGTGGATTCATGTCGGTGACGCACTAGAAGGAATCAGGCGGAAAGCAGGAGAGGCCCTTGAGAAGGACACCATCCCTGGCTTCAGAGAGCTGCCATTTTAATTAGGGAGATAAGAGGACAACACAGAAAAACGTGACGCATGATTCATGATTATCCCACGACATGCAAGTTATATGGTCTAGGATATCGTGACGCTCGCCTCCGTGCTACAGTTCATTTGTTTAATCCTAATTCATCGAAGACATAAATCTCCTCTACAAAGCCCTCAAGGTGATCACCCAGCATCTGCTTCATTTGTTCCATTGACAACTGATTTTTCCCAGCGCAGCCCATTCCACTTCAGAACATTCTAAAGGAAAACGGCCCCGCTCTCTGATCCAGGGCTCCCCTCCATTTCCAGTGCATACGGTCACAGAGGAGAACTTCGCATCTCCTTCTGTGTGGGAGTCCTGTGGATACTTTCAGACACTCGTCATGGCTTCCTTCCATCCCCACCCCAAAGTCCTTCCATCACCACGGTTACAAGATGCACCCAGGTCACTCCATGACATGAGTGCG